TGAGTGTGTTACTAACTATATCCAAGTGAATTCTGTTCCTATCAGCCTGTATAAGAAGGTGCTGTACAAGGCTTAGGATTTGTTTATTCTTTCTAATTCTACCACATTTTTCCCATATAGCATCAAGCAACTCAATTGCAGTCACATTTTCAGGTTTAGATTTGCAATTGTGCGAGCAGTCTGTGGGAATGTCGTGACTACACACAGAAATCAGGCCATGCGGGAAAAAAAAAGTCTCCAGTTCTCTTCATTGCAAGGGCACTTCAATATCCAATCAGAACAAGCGATACTACAAGGAGGGCAGGCAACTGCAAGGCGCAACCAAGCACCTTGGTTAGATGAAAATCTGGCCTCTAATCTGGTACTTAAATCCCCATCTGAAATGGGAGTCACAGTAGTACATACCTAGCTCCTCCTTACGCACCTTTTCAGAGTGTTGTGAAAGTAGTGAAGGGTTTTTTGGGTTCTCACAGATCAGGTGGTTGATGACAGTGTGTCATGCAGGTATGAGCTGTTCAGGTTTCCATACAAAATATAGTTTCCTGCTTGGACAACAGTTGTGAATTTATGTTAATACAACTCTGGCATTTCTCAGTCTATTCAGTCAAATTAATGCTTTGGAGTTCAGATATGTGTGCCATGAGGACACATTAAAGAGAAAACACAGCTACCTAGAGGAGTTGTAGTTAACACTGAAAGAACTTTTAGGCAGCAGAAGGCCCTCACCTTTCAGTGCAAATATATTCTCTAGCAAAAAAAGAAGGAAAGAGGAGAAAAAAAAAGTGGAAAACTATAAGCACGTGCCTTTAAGCAAGCAAGCAAATAAAATAGTGGGGAAACGAAAGAGATAAATGAACAGGTAAAAATTAGCAAAAAATCTCTCTGATTGCAAAAACCAAAGACTTTGCAGTGGCTTAGTACAAGATGGTTCCTTAATTTATTTATTTTTTTCCAAAGGTGTAAGTGGCCCTTGAATTTAAGAAGGGAGGGCAGTGTTATAGCTATTACAGAGCAGGATGAAAGGCACATTACCCACTAAGGTTTTGCCCTCCTTGAAGCCTCTGGCCACTATCAGAGACAAGATTATTACACCAGATAGGTGGACCACAGCCTAATCCAGTTTGGCGTGTATTTCCCTGTGACACATACAGACGCTGCCGCAGAGAGGAGACTGGTATATCCTGCTCCTAGCATGCTGTGTCTGCATTTGCCCTCTCTGATTTGAGAAAGCCGTGTCTGACTTGCCAAGTGTGAACAGGAAGCTTTCCTGAGCAAGTGCTCTTTACTTTGACAGAGATATATATTTGTCGAGGGGCAGGAAGGGGAGTCTCAGACTGTTGCTGTGACTGCAGTAATCACCACTCCCACCACCCCATTCCAAACGAAGGTGTTCAAAGCTGTGATTTCAGGGAAATGACTCTAAAGATTCTTTTGCTGTTCAGAGCTGTGCCAGCAGCCGGGGACTTTTCAGAGACTATTTTTCACTAGAATGAAAACCACCTTCTACGGTCCTACAGTTACTGTTTACACCCACAAAACCCTTGCAGTGGTTTCCCTTTGTTGCTTTAGGGATCTGCAAGGAGGGACAGCATTGGAGCTAGCCACTCGAGTCACCCACGAAAGGACAGCGACCAGGAAAGGTACCAGCGGGGGGAGAGAAAGAGAGGAGGCGGCAGATGCTGCAGCAGATGCACTGCAGCAGGAGAGAGGTGGTTACATGGGAAGCTGAGAAGGGACAGGTAGCCGCAGAGCCTGCATGAACTTGCACGAGAGTGCAAAATGGGAGAAACTGAAAACAAGAGTGGCAAATACAAGGTGAAGGAAAGAAGGATGTGATAAGGGTAGTAGTAGCCTGCTTATTTTAATTAAAAAGGATTCAGCTGACATCACGCAGGAGGTTTCCAGCCCACGCAGAGGAATGGTGATGACATCCCCAGCATTGCAATGTAAGTATGAGGGGTGGAGATGCCATGTCTCCCTGTGAGGAGGCACTGAGTGTGCCTGGGAGAGGGCAGGGGCCCCTCCAGGAGCCTGGAGTCCCACCTGCACTGGAGGCAGCATGACACACGGCTGCCTGCCCAGGTCCAGGCTCACTTCGACCCACTGGCAGTTTGTGGTGTTGGTATTTCCGTCGAAGTAACTCTGAAGGATCCCAAACAAGGATTATGCAAGTCTACAGTAAATTCTAAAAACCCTAAGAGATCCACTGTCCCTGCTTAGGAAACTTTATCCTCCACATCTAGACTATATGCCATAGGGAGAAGGTGGAAACTGAGACAAGGATAGATTTGGTTGTGCTTTGACTAATTAATCAAGTGAAATTCTTAACACCACCTCCTGGGCTGGTGAACGGTTGTTAGCCATTACCGCTGAAAAGCCTGGGCTGGTGATGGTCAAACAAGGAAGGACAGTTATTTTCCCCGTAACTGGTTATTCAAGATGGACTCGTGCAACTCATCATCTCAATGTCCCAGTGTTTCACAGTCTGACTATATTTAATGGGCAAATAACTTGATATCCAAAAGCCACCTGGGGTTGCACTGTTGTTTTTCCTGGTGTTCAGTATATCCCACTTTCTGGAAAGTCTAAGCACCAGCACACAGAGAGCACTGCATTTTCACTTTGAGTAACAGAAGCAGCCTTTTGGGGGGAAGATCAAAGGTAACAGATTTTTTCTTCCTCCCAATTTCCCCTTTCCAAATGAGGCAGTACAAGCACAGAGTAAAAAGGTCAGTAAAATTCGTTTGCACCTAAAGAAATTATGTGTTGACTATTACAGGCCTAAGAAAGGGTCACACATACATGTTTTTCAGAATGAGACATCAAAACCAAAGTGAGATAGCCCTGATCCTGCAAACAGACGTGTCCTTAGCCTGTACTCCAGCAGGACTATGTCATGTGTGAAGTCAGGCAAGCTCATCCCTCGGAAATGTTCTTCCCTATCTGTGGTCTCATGTTCCGCACTAGTTTGGACAGAGGAGCTATTCACGTCCATGTATTTTTTAAACGGCTCTATTAAACAGCGTTATGTACATTTCACTTCTCTCTATCCTCTCCTCTTTCCTTTCTTTTCATGTGGATGTATGTTAAAACAACTGAATCTTCAAGCCATGCTTTTAGCTCGGAGGGCTGGGCAAACTGACTTTCCTGAAGTCTAGAACCGATCTGGACTGACATGTAGACAGAATACTGAATTGAAAGACCCTGTGTGATTCAGGGGAGGGTTTCAAAAGTCCCAAAAGGATTTAGATGACAACGACATGGGTAGAGAAATAATTCAGTGGAGAAAAGGGGGTGCCCAAATTTTACTTTGAGTGACTGAGTGAGCTTTCTGTCATCATGGGGAGTGCTTTAATGCTCAGAACTCAAAAGGATTTCTGAATGTTATCTACTCAAAACAAAAGAGAAGGTGAGCAGCTCTCGTCTATGAAATATGCACATACTGCAAATGCTCAGCTGGGTTATAAATTTCCCTTTTAAAGCACCAAGGAACTTCTATTTCCTTTATTGCCACCTAGTGGAAACTGTGCTGTCTGCATTGCATTATTCATAACAGCATTTCCATCTCAGAGCTCATTGAGCTGTGCAGATGATTGCACCACTGAAATAAGGGGCAACTTATCGTGCATGTATTGTGCTTTGTAAGTTATAGCAAGGTCTTGGTAGCTCAAGAGATTACACGGTAAGGTGCAGAGTGGCACAGGTGTTTCTGAGAAATTTATCTTTCACCGAGATCAGTAAATGGTACTAGCAAGAGGTGAGGTACCAGATTGGAAGGGTTCATGTTATAACCTTGCCATCTCTCAGGTCACAAGGTTATTCACAATGGACAGTTACTATGCAAATGGCCCAGTTCCAGTCAGGTGGAAACCAAGCTACAGGTCAACATTAATATAGCTAGGGTGTATTTTCTTCAGTTGGGACAATTGTATTTTAAAGATTAGCCGTGTACTATTTTAGAAGGTTATAATTACTGCATTAAGATGTGTTGCTGAAAAAGTGGGGTTCTATTGTGAAAAAACGCCATTGATTTTCTCAGCTCACACTTTGAACTGATTTTTAGTGTTCCTTGGGGTATTATGAGTCTCTGTAAGATGTTATTTGAAAACATTTTGAAATGTCAATCCAGATTCCTGAAAAATACCGGAATAGTTCATTTTGGAGAGTGTTCATTCATGTGCAGACACCAGAATGCTGGTTAGATTTCAGCTCTGCATTGAGAGTCACATTTGGTCTGACGCTTATTCCTGTGGTGTTTTTTCTTGCTTCTTCCACGTTTTTCAAAACTTCAATGGCTTTCCTTCAAGAATTTTATTAGATTATCCACACTCAGCCCTTGAGAAAGCAGCTAAGTTTCTAACATTGTTCTAGGCCCCTTTGTATCGAAGTCCCGCCAGTGCCAGGCATTTTGGCACCAAATTAGTGTATCCACACCATGTTCTTGTATCCACTTGTCTCTCCCTATCTCATCAGCAATCTTTCACTCACTTTCCTTCTTGAGAAGGACAAGATTTCTCTTGCTGCCACCCTGACATGCTTCACGCAGCCTGACCCAAGCCTTTGCTGAAGCAGTGCATGTTATTCATGATCCCGTGGTGATGTTGGAAAGCAACCAAAAACTCACTATTTGGAAGCCTTGAGACATGAGTATCAGCAACCCATACAGCGAACTGCTGGCAATTAGCCTCAGTACTTAAGCAAAGTGGTTTCCTTTAGCCTTTAAATAAAAATGTATGCCAAGAATTTCTAGAAGTTTCCCAGATAAGGTGCATAAATGGAAGCTTTTTGTAACTCTCTTTGTCACTAGATTGCATTCAGGCAAATTAAATTAATTGTTGGGTCCTGCTAACTAATAAAGGAAGTTTATCTTCAGGACACATTTTTTTACTGTTGTCTTTTTCTGTGTAGGAAAAAATAGTGCCCAGTAGAAAATCGAAAGTTCTTTAGAAAAATCTTTGTTAATGTTTTTCCTTCCTTCTTTTTCTTATTTTTACATAAAGATATGCAGAGCCTTGAGCAGTTGCTGAGGGATGCAATAATATATGGTCAGCCTCGAAGCCGCAGAGCATGGAGAAAAATTATCATCCTCGTGGAGGGCATTTACAGGTATGTTTGTGTTTTAGAAACCTGAGTAGTCTTTATCGTTTCTGAGGACAGAATGATACATTGAGTGAAGCGAACATTGACTCTAGGTATCTGAGAGAAACCTTAAGAGAGTGGAGGTTACAATAACATTCTGTGATCTTGTAAATTGATTTCCATTACGTCAGTCTGAGCCCTGGTGTAACTTGCTCCAGTTAGATCCTGTGCATTGTTCTGAATGTTGATTTAGCAAATCACAGTGGAGTGGGAGATGTACTGTGACAGCAAGACAGATCATCACCTGGTGTATGTTGCCACAGATGTGATAAAATTCATGGAGCTATAGTAGGTGAGGAGTTTTGCTAAGTGAGTAAGCTGAGTTTTCTGGAGTTGTTTGCTACGCACAGGCAGATCAAAAGACAACTACGCAGAACTTAATTAGCTCTGCATGCCCAGTTCTTACCCAGCTGTTGGAATCTAAAAACTCAAGCTAAACATAGGCCAAGAGATACCAGCACCTTTCTAGTAATTAGTGCTGGATCTAATGGACTCACACTTTAACAGGAAAAACAATTAAAAGACTGGCTTTCAAAGAATTATATAGTGGTATTTCACGTAGCCCCAGTCCCTGGAGGAATTTCAATGAGAGAAGTGCCTTTGAGAATCCATCAGATAATATCAGCATTGATAACACCATGTAATTATAGAGCATCCAGTCAGATAGCTCTGGTTCACTAGTGTGGTACGTCTTACACCCGAGCAGAAGGACAAACCATCACTAGAGTCGAGCAGCAAAGCAGAGGCACCAGCCAGGCCCACCGTCCTGGGTTTCATACTGGCAACCGCTCAAGTCAGGAGAAGATTGTTGGGAAGGCAGCCATGGGGCTGGTGGATAGCATGGAGGGGGAGCCACTGGTGGGCAAGGAGCTAGAGCAGGGAGAGGGAGAGATCATGAAGAGGAGGGAAGGGCTGAAGAAGCAGAGATCTGGACAGTAAGAGGGTTTGCAGGCATCTAGGTAAGGCTACTGTGGCGATGACGAGAGAGGCGGGGAGTAGGAGAAGGATAGGTTTGGGAGTAGCAACACTTGCACCAGAGAGAAGGGAACCAGAACCACTCATTCACAGGACGTGACATGGTTTATGAAAGCAACATTAAACTTTATGTGTAGGGATCATATCATGTGTTGCTGAACCAGTCTGGATGAGCAGTCGTTTATGCCATTTTATTGAGAAATGCTAGCACAGTTGAGCTGATTAGCTTCTTTCATAGGGAATCTTTTACGATCTCATGTCATCACAACTTCATAGTTGTCAGTGCTTTCTTTTTACCTAACATTTTCCATCTGCAAAGAGAACAAATCAGTCCTTATCTAAATACCTGTCACTCAGAGCTGAAACAGGTCAGCAGCAGATCAGCTGATCCAAAGCAGGCTGAACGTCTCCTTTCAACCAGAATAAACAGAGCAAAACTGCAAATAAACATAGCTTGGCACTACTAAAAGAAAGCTCAGATTTAAGGACTTTGATCATGCAGAAATTAAGTGGACCACCAACATTTTACTGATAAATATTCCCATCGGTCACATGGCCTGCAGAAAATGCTCCAGCTGCTGAGTTTTGTTCACTTTTAAATCCTTTACCCTGGATATTGATCACTAGGCAGCAAGAAGGTAAACTGGTGACACAGAAGCATAGATCAGTCTGAGCAGTGGGACAAACCCACTGTCAGATATTTGCAACTATAATGACTATATTTCCAGATGCATCTTTGATATAGAGTTTTCTTTTCCTCTACTTTTTCAGTTCATTTTCAAAAGAGATTTCGTTCTCAAAGTTCGAAGAACCTTCTGTTGGAATGCAAAATAAAAATATGTTAAACCTCAGAGAACCTCACTAAAGAGGAACCATAAAGTTCCTTCAGCCCCATAAGGGCTAAATAATGTTAAGACCGCTCATGCCCTGACTGTCTATGCTTGTGAAAGGCATCAAGTAAAAGAAAAACAAAGCTCAGCTCTCTAATAGTCTTTCATTGGAAACTAGCCCTAGCAGTAGCTAGGTTGGTTGGTTAGTTGTTTTCATAGTCTAAGCAGATCACAAATTGAAGATTGTGGTTTGGTTGCAAAGCAAGTCTGCTCTGACTCGAGGGAGAATACCACCACACCCCACGGTGTTGTATCCCTGCCATCACTGCCAACCCGAGACGCAGGCAGCTGATCTGTCCTTACAACACTGCTGGGAACAGACTCACAGGCCATGTAGTCTAACACAGTAAGTAGCTAATAACATTTCATGTGCAAAAGAAAAGCTGGAGAGAGACATATTAGAAATACTCTTACTTTTTTTGTGTGCATGTCCTTTCCTTTCTTGGCCCATGATTCTTGAAAGAGACTAAAATTTTCCAACCCCATATAGGCTACTCTTAATTTTCTTGAAGATTTGCCAGATGCCAAATTAACATTCATCTAGAGGGTTTAAGAGGAGGTAGACTGTTGTTAATGTATTCTTCTTACAATAGTTAATACTGCCTTTTTTTTCTTCTTCTTCCTTAAAGGGCTTAAATTATGCTTCAGGGACAACTAATACAGAATTTAAATAACTTGGTCAGAGCCATTCTCCACGTTAAAATATCTTGACTTGCAAGTTTGGCTTGGCAAGTTTTTACAGAAATGCTTTTTCCAGAGATGCAAAAGAAACACCAAGTTTTCCTTCTTTAAAAAAAATACTGTTATATGGGTCACCATAGTCCTAGTATGGTGAAGTTGATGGTATGGAAAAAAATTTGCCTTCTCTTTCCATTCAGAGTATGTTAAGGTGTTTACGCTGTGCATAAACTCGGACTTACCGGCTGGCAAAATCTGAAAAGGGTCATGGCTAACCAACACGAGCATTTCTGGAAATCAGACTTGTGCTTCAAACCGTAAGCCACAGATTTTGCTTGGTTACAACTGAAGGCAGAATTGGCCCCTAGACTTGGGAAGCACTCAAGCTACCTGTCAAATAAATAGCAATATGTATATGTTTGTTTGCTTTTTAAAGTCTCTATTATCTTGAAAAGAAAAAAAAATCATCAGAAGTAAATGTAACTACTAGTGAAAGCTAGTTCTTAACTTGGACTAGCCTAGGAGCAAATATATTCCATTTGCATTCCAAACTGAGAGAGACCATCTAGCCATCAATCTTCAGTACAAAAAGCACGAACAAGTTTTGGTGGTGTCCAGGGCACAAGTTAAACTGACTCACTAAATCATATTTCTATTATTCAAATTCCAGCTAATGTTTTCCTTCGCTTCTATCATTTCCAGTTCAGGATTAATCAGTTACTGTGTTCTTACATGGTTTGTGGTAGGTTTCTGCTCTCTTGCAGACATATTTACCTAGGAGTCAGACAGGCCAAGGCCCAGGGCAGGAGTTATGGGGCACCAGAAACTGATCAAAACAGATTGTTTTTCATTTGTTTTTTTCCCTGCTTTTAATTTAATTTGGGTATTTTCTCTTCCAGCTCCAAAAATAGCTCTCTGATCAGTTAGATATTGTCCAGTGCCTTTTCATGTGCATTAGAAGTTCTTTAGGATTCAATGCCAATACCGTAGGAAATTTTTCAGGGTTATTTTTTATTTCCTGGGATTGAGTGACTGGACTTACAGAAAAGAATGGGGTAACATTTCATGTCTTTGGCCAGGAACCAGCATTAAAGGTTAACATTTCTATCGTTTCAGTGTATGGGGTTGTATTTGAGGGCAGGGTTGGAAGGTTTCCTTAAAACTATTGCTCTAAACTACAAAACAGAGATTGTTGTATGAATGTGCAAGATTTATGTAAGAAAACAATACCTAAAGTAAACATTAAAATGGAATGCATACATCTTGGGAGTAACAGGTCAGGAAAGGAGGGATTTTCCCAATTACAAACTAGCCTGAAAGGGGAACAGATAAAGTTTTCAAATGCTGAAAGGATAGTGGTACTATAGGGTATGTTTAGAGACATTGAGTGATGCAATTATGAAGAAGACAATAGGTTGAATATTGGTAAATTAATTTTCCTGACAGAAAAAAAAAAAATTGAAACTGTGGTACCATAGTAGGATGTAGAAGACTCTTTTCCTGAGAAGTTTCAAAATAAACTGGACAAAAACTGTCAGTATCCTGTCAAGAGCAAGCCTTTGTTCCAAGCGAAGTGACCAGCACAAGTGCACACCTCGTGTTTCTCAAAGCACCTGGCTCCACAATTCATCAGCTGCATCAGGAAGAATCTCAGTGATTGAATCAAACTTCAAAATTCAACGATCCCAGAATTTTGGATTACCTCCTCGCATCTGGAAGTGCATTCAAACTGAGTGTGTACTGAAGAAAGCTTTTGTGCCTGCCCGCCGAACAAAGGTGATGAGGGTCAGCTGCAATCTAGAAGCTTTACATCCCTGCCACCAAGCTCATAATTTTTGCTACAAGGCAGGATGTAATACCACGTAATGAGAATGTCTGGCCTGGGCAGAGCCAGCTTATGTCCATCTGCATCCAGCTTTTTTGATGTGCCCTGTGTGCTTGAGCAGATCTGGAAACAGATCAACAGCTTTGTAAAAGTGACACAACCAGACTGAGACAGAACAATTACAGTTCACTTCTGGTTCTCTGGTTTAAACTCAGTCGACATCAATATTTACTGAAGGATTCAGTAAACTTTCCATTTGGGATACCCAAGGGGTTATGTGAAGTGAGCTTTATCTTGGAGCAATTCTAAACAGAGCTGTGTTTATATCACAGACCATCTCCCAGGGACACAAGAGAGACCAAGAACAGAGTAGGCAGCAAAACAGCTCTCATCTCTGCCATCAGGAGGGCTGAGGCCTGTTTGAATGGCAGCACGTGAAAACTTACACGAAACCAGCAGCGCTTTATCTACTCCATGGACACTTCAAGGCCATGTTAGGATCTCTGTCAACTATTGTAACATTTATGTCAGCCAGCATGTTTCAAGAGCAGTAAATCAACACTGAAATTAAATACAAGTGCTTTGTTTGTCTAAACATCTTGGAGTTCAAAGAGAAATCTACTTGTACTAGTAAGAAAAGTTTTCATTAAATCTTCTTAATGGTTAAATCTTGCAATAGCCATGTACCAGCTCTATGTATTCTGGGAATCAGCAATAACTTTGCTTCCATTCCACAAATATGCAGCAAATCAAGCTCTGTATTTTTAATTTACCATTTTTACTCTTGTCTTTTTGAAGATAAATGCTATCTCTCCCATCTGAAATCTCCATGAGCCACTAAGCCTAATCATGTCCATGTAAATGTGGAAAAACTCTTACTGTCCTTCTTTGCCTAGCTGGTCTGCCCAAGTATCGCTGGAGGGTGGAGGGTGGGATGCCTATTCGCTTCCCTCTGCAGAGGTGCTCCTTGGCACCACTGTCACTCTCTGACCATATAGCCAACGTGCAGGCCGACCAGACGCAGCCGAGAGCCGCCATCCCCAGAACGATGGTACGATGCCTCGTGCCCAAGCACACCCAGTGGCTCAGTATAATTTTTAGCTGACTAATGCTTTGACTCTGGGCTAATGTGAGGACTGTGGGCTCTGCCCTTGTATTCATTAGGAAAATAGCTGTGGTGGTTGAAGTTGCTTCTCCCCCAGTTGCCAAGTGCCGTTTGGGAAAAGTGAGAAAGCCCAGCTTTCAGGAGCTTGCAGTACAAGCCCACCCTTCTTTGCTGCAAGAGACTGTGGTGCTGATATATAGCCCCACAGCTGCCTCTTCTTTTGCTGGGCAAGACAGAAGGGCAAGATTTGCCAGCAGTCACCTGACAGCCAAAAATATGCCTCCAGGCACACATAGCCACTCTCCGAACCTCCCAGTACGAACAGCACAGTCAACCCTTGTCCATGGCTGCTCCCCTGTGCTGTTCTTTCAAACTAATGGAGACTTGCCTATGGGCAAGTCTCCTTCAAAACTGGAGACCAAGCTGTTTCCAAGCTTACTCAGGAGACCAAAGGCTGAAGGAGGACTAAAATTGTCAGAAATTTCCCAAGTGCTAAAAGCACATCCTGCCGCTTTTGTGGTACCAAACTTCCAGCTGCATAGTGCAGCTAGAGTGGCAATAAAACAATCTGTGAAAGCCACTGGACCAGGATCTAAAAATTGCCAAGAAGTTGTGTTGATCGCACTGCCTTTTTTTACATGCTGTTTGGGAACAAACTCATCATTTCTGCTTACCTGAAACTCTTGTAGCATCTGCAATCGGAAACCTTATCCACAGGCCTTATCCACGGAGCACTGGTTTTCCTGGCACACAGCGCACTCACTGTTTTTGCTAGGAAGTATTTAGCATTTAAAGACCTGCTCACTAGAGCTAGTGTAAGAGAACATGTTTAACTCATTATGAAATGAATACTGAGTGCATCAGAGCATATCCAAGCATAGCTGTAGTCATCTCACAAAGGTTTTCAAGACGCAATAATCTTCACAGCAATACTATTGGTACGTCATCTTTTTGGGATTAGAGTGCATTTCTTATTTGTCTCCCTGGGCTTTCATTTTGCTGTACAGCTCCTCTGTGCCTTCTAACTTACTGACGTGATTACCAGCAACAAAAGAATTATCATCTCTTCTTATTTCTACAAATCTCAATACGCCATTAGTGCAAGTTCAGAACATTTCCTTTTCCTGCATCGCTGTAAGAAAATGATAAGAAAAAGAACGGAAATGTTTTTTCCTTTTGAGTACTACATAGCAGGCTGCATTTCCTAAAAAGTTCGTATTGGGAGAAACAATTGGCAAGAGAGGATTTGAGCTCCCTTTTCTAATCCCTGATTCTGTCCACTCTGAAGACTGGGGCTGCTTTGAGTTATGGCACCATCTGTGCATTTCAGGTGGCCCATCTCCTGTGTATGTTAGACCCAAATACTTTGCACCAGGGTAATTTGCTCTAGAGCTGCTACCCCCAAATATCGCCACAGTAGCTGATGATGAAGTAAGCAAGGACCAAACTGAATTACAGCGGTTCCTTATAATTCATTACAATATTTGTTTTGTACTGAATTGTAATGTGCTGCTTTGGGTGAGTATCTCCCCCGTGCTTTATACCTTTCCTTCTCTTTTCTGGCATGTTGAAAATTTACAAATGTTCAATGACTTTTTGACCGGTTTTGATTGTTTGAATTCTAAAACTGTTTGACTGTTTTATACTCACCTGCAGATGGGAAAGGGTTGCAATTTTTCTTTGAACTGTAAATACAAATTGAGGTTCCAGAAGATCTTTCATGGAGTGAGGCAATTAATGCCTATATTTTCTGGCAGTATCTTAAAGAGAAAGGGAGTACAAGATTTGTTGTTCATCCATGATTCTCTCCATCTGCAGCATGGAAGGGTCCATCGTGCGCCTGCCAGAGATAGTCTCCTTGAAGACGAAATACAAAGCCTACCTCTACTTGGACGAAGCTCACAGCATCGGTGCGGTGGGTGCAACGGGCCGAGGAGTTGTGGAATACTTCGGTATGAGTCCTGACGATGTTGATGTATTAATGGGAACGTTCACAAAGAGCTTTGGCGCAGCTGGAGGATACATAGCTGGTAAAAAGGTAAAAGGAAAACACAAACATTTTAACATCAAGGGGGGGGAAGTACCTTCTTATTATGTATGATACATTGCATTATATTTTCGCATAGACTGCTTTGCAGGAGCAGTATTCTAAAGTTAGTACCATTTTTGTCTGGATCCCAAATGCACATCAAACAGCCAGACTTTCTTATTTTTGTTTCATGTTCATATTATGTAATTTGCTTGGGTTGGGTATTTCTGTGCCACCCTGATGATTGTTGTTTGTCTTGGAAATGTTTAGACACGTTGTGGTTGGCTAAATATACTTCACTACATTAATTTGCATGCAGATTGCTCATTACTTTGTTTCACATTTGTAAACAGTGTATGGAGCAATATTAAGAGATTAAAACCACAGTTTCATCCACTGATAATAAAATTCCTAAACAGTTGTGGATTGTCACAGTTGCATTTTTTAGGAGGATGGAGAAAGAGGGTTACTGAGGGCCTTTTGCAGTAGTAAAATCCGTGTCCTCAGTTGCTCTGCGTACATTAACAAAACAACCGCCTGCCAACAACAGATGTCAACAAAAAGTAGAGCTGAGCTTGCTTTAACTGGGGGTGTAGAAGAAGAGAAAGCATAATCAGCACCATTGTGAAATGTCCTCCTCGGTTTTGTTGCTTGACAGAGATATCAAGTGGTTGCTGATTATTTACCCTTTTCATACCCTGCTGAATGTATTTCTTAAGTAGTTTGCTGAATGAGTAGGAAGCCTGTTTAGACAGCCCATATGGTTGTTGTCAGGATAACATTAATAAGGGTAGCACTTGAGTAGAATAAAAGGGCTGTAAGAAAGTATCGAGTGTATATTTCTTACTGTCTTTTTTGGTTTTGCCCCTGGAGATCTTATAACAGGCTATCATAATACATTAAGAATCCATTTTCTTTGTTTTCTTTGCTTCCTGAACTTGCATCTGAAGGTTTAACTCTTACCAAAGACAATGTGGCTAACGTAGCTAGAAATTATAGGAAGCCTAGACCTGTGAAAAGCAGTCTAAAGTAATTCATCATCTAATCCTTGGAAGTTTTCTTAAATGAAAGTGGGTCGCTCTTTTCATGCCTGTGTGTATCACTAAGCTTTGCCTCAGGCTTCCGAGCCTTGGTGGCAGCTGCCAACACACTTAGCACACTTATATTCATTTCCGCAGCCAAAAACTCACTGTGGCACTGTTTATTCTGCATCAGCTAGAGCACAGAAGCCTTCTCAGCTATTTGATCGAACGCTTAGGATTACAATTGCAATATAGCAATGCATAACCTGTGTAAGGTTAGGTAAATCTTTATCTTTAGCATTGGAGTTACCACATAGACTCATACAGCTTTTTTGGCAATAATTTGTGTTATTCTCTTTGGGTTTTTTCCTGGTGATATTTTTTATCAAAGGCAGTTTTCAAGCAGGCCTCATCCCTTTCTCACTAATATGCATTCAGCTTTTAGTGTGCTAACTGTTACTCTGACATTTTGCACTAGGAGGTATAAGCTGTCGTAACAGTGATGGTCTTAATCAAGCACTGAATTCCTACAGTGTCCCTGGATTCAGGAGAGTTACTGGTGCTTTAGACATGCCTACAGTACATCAATGCTTTTTCTAGGAGCACAGATTGTGCTCTTAGTTACACAAGGAAATGTTAAAGCAGCTATACCGACTCTAACGTGACTGTCCCTCCCACACTGATGGAAAGTTTCAGTTGAAGGAAGTTTATGTTAATAGCCAGAGATAGATCCCAGTAAGGTTGCTTTCCCTGGGTTAGGTCTTGTGGCAGAGGAACTATGCTGATGTCATGTAGGCTTTGCTTCGTTCCCAGAGAGGAACTGAGCAGTATTTTAAGTGCAGCTGTTCATTGGTCTTTAAATGATTTTGGCTCCTTTATAATCAGTCTTAGCACAGAAGTAAACAATATTCTATTCCAGACTTTTGTTTCAGCTGTAATTGCCCCACTTATATGGTAAAGTATTTGCACCTGCCTGATGTTTCTTCAGGCTATGTGTTAAGAGTAGCAGCCAAGAAAGCAAACCAATAACTGGTGAAACATCCTCTTCCTTTTGCATGTTCTCACTCCTGCAGTAGTTAAGAGGGAGATCTGCTGTTTGGCCAGCTCAAAGCTCATTCATGCTTTGTTTTGCTTGTGTAAGGACCTTGTGGACTTTTTACGAACTCATTCTCACAGTGCTGTGTACGCCACATCTATGTGTCCACCCGTAGCAGAGCAAATCATCAGGGCAATGAAATGTCTCATGGGACTAGACGGGACAACACAAGGTAAGCCACCTTCTTTAACTTTACTTATTTCAATTACTACCAGAGCATCTACTGTGTACAGGCGCACACAAAATGTCACCCAGCAGCAAAGCAGTATGGTATTGCAATCCAAAGGAAATAATTCTTACCGTAAAATTAATATCCAAATCATCATACTTCTAACTACTATCACCTCTATTTATTTTTCCACACTCATCCACATGCATCAGGGATGGAAATATTCCAGAATTCTGGCTCTATAGTTGCCAGTCCACTCTGCTTTGCAGCAGCAGCAAATAGAAGTACATGAATTGCCCTTTGAGTAGACTGTCTGACTCTGTAGGAGGGGTTCATAAGGACATGCCTTCCTTTATGGGCTAGATGCTGTCAGTTTAGCTTCTTTGTAAGTGTGAACCTCCAAAATGGCAAGCAGCTCAAGCATGGTGCAGAATTTCAAAACAGGTGTTGTATGTTAAATAATAGTATGAGAAGATGATTATAATAATTCCTACCTCACTCAGGCATTAATTATGGTGTCCTGAAGCTAGTTTTCAAGTACATTTTGTCCCAAAAGCATTGACTACTTGGTGACTTTATGAAAAATTAGGTTTGTTTATATTCCTCTCCTGAAGTTGCAGATGTAGCTACCGTCCAATCCTGTGTGTAACATGCTTTCTATGAAGCTAGCAACAAAGCAACTGTGTGACTTATCTTTCTGCTACTGTTTCAAAGTGATACTGATACGTATTCAATGTTCTAGGACTTAAATCCCGACTCGGAGAAAAGCTGGTGGGTTTTGAATTTGTAGAGTTTTTGTCCGGAGTGCCTGAGAATCATGTTACTGTGTAACATGCAGTTGAAGACACAGATTCTGCTCTGAATTGCAACCTCTTTTATACTGGTCCTGCAGAACTTGTGCTGTGCTATTTTCTCTTACCTTGTGTAGGACTAACGGTTATTCTGTATTAGTCCTCCCCGATAGATATGACCGGGGCAGGGTGGGAATGGAAAGGAAAAAGGGTATATGAGAACAGGTAAGATACTGCTCTGCACTATTCTGTTGCAGTGCCCTAGAGGGCGGTTTCAAACCGTGATAGAGACGAGGTTATTAAGATGTTTATCGCAGCCCTTCAACGAGGCCAGAATTTACAAGACCCCAGTGTACAAAACGAGGGCTAGAAAATCCAGTCCCAGTGCCAAATTCTGCTGAGTGCAATAACAAAGTGCAGCAAAACTCCAGCGCAACGCGTAGACAACAAGGAAACGGTGCTTTTGTCATTCTGGCAGAGAAGTTAGAGCGTAACGACCGTCTCCAACCTGAAATGTGAAAGGTCGACGTTGCGTGTGCTGACGCCTGCATCCTGTTCAACGTAAGGGACCAGCTCTGACACGTTTCTTCTACCCTGGGGACTGTGCAGCCCGTCCTGCTGCGGGGCTCCCTGCGCTAGCTGTAGGAAGCGCTTGCCGTCAGAGGGCGGTCTTACACCGAGCCTTCCCCAGAGCCACTTAAGGCGCTCGCAGATGCCGCGTGTGAGACATAAAACGTGCAGAGCGCTCCCAAATCTTCAAAGCCTCCTAAAAACCATCTTCGGCTAGCGTGATTCTGCATGCAGCTCAGTGCAGGCTAATAGGAGAACTTGGTTCAAGATGGAGGCTTTTAAGATGTGCGTGTCCAACTGTCTTAGGGCTAAGGGTTTGCAGCATTTTCTCTTCCAGAAGCAGTGTTGTTTAATGAGACAGTGTTTGTATTTCTGCACAAAATAAGTGCTTATTAAGTCTTCCTTTATGAAATAAATTAGTGTTCTGTCAGGTTTTTTTAAATTTGTCTTGTAATATGAAATGCAAATGACTAGAAAAACAAATGAATTAATCATATATCACAACTTAGAGTATTGCACAAAGGCTAGCAAACTGGCTATGATGTGTAAAAATGTTTCTTGCCCTTCTGAGCCAGACTCATTATTTTAGTCTATTGGTTTTTCTTTCATGTGGGCCTCCCTTCATTAGGCTGTCTTGTGACTACAAAAAAAAAAAAAAAAAAAAAAACCCAAACCCAAAAAACCACACAACCCAAAACACAGGAAAAAATGTTATGCTGGACCACACTACAATGCTGCTTTGGCATCAGAGAGAGGAAGGTGGTGGCTTAGAAAGGAGGGGAGAACAGAAGGGAGAAAGCACTGTCTCTTCTTAGATATTTTTGTTTCCAAGGACAACAGCGGCCTCGGCTGAGTTCTTTTGGTCTGCTATCATAGAAAATGGTGAATCCTGCATGTGAGCAGTCCTTGTGAGAGCATGAGCCATGTAGCGGAGACACCTGGCAGAGAAGTTTCAAGTCAACCAGAGTTGCCACAGGGTGGTATGGACCTTTTGTCCTCTGGAAGCCTGTTGAATCGATAAAAGGAGTTTATTTTGTGATTTCTTTCGAATGGCGTTCCCTTTCCGCAGGATGATTTGGGGAATCGTTTATAAGGAGATGTCTACTGATGGCTTGTCCTCCGGAGGGCATTTCTGTAGGGGAGGGAGCCTTGCAAAAAATACTGGGATTGTTTTGGAAAAGAATGAAATTAGAGTTTGTTAAAAAGTTCCATGTTAACTAGAAGGTGCTTCTTGAAAAGAGTATGAAATAATGGGATGACAAGTGTGTTAACTCAGCTTGTTCCTACATCTGAACTTCATGACTGACGACTCAGTAGATTAACAGAAAATTAAGAGAAGGAAGACTAATCTGGTCATTTAAATTGCTGCTCTGAAAACTCTTTATTCTATATTTTTTAGCACTTCACACAGTCATCTTTTATATTTTCCCAGATATAATGCTTTTACATTCTCTTCAATTTCTTGCTAGTTATTCTCCCCTAATTTGTTAAGCAGCTGATCTAGAAAAGAGTAGCATAGGTGGAATTATGTAGTGGGCAATGTCAGAGGCCAGAAATGCAGCGATACTGCTTGTGTTTATCCTGGTGTGTATCCAAATGATTGATCTCCCACATTTTCTTCCTTTATTTTCAATTAGTAAGAATACGGTTGTTTGGAAAAGGAATCAGGGTGTGCATTTCCAGGACAGGATCAGTATACTGGATGCATGACTGCAGGATATGAATAGATGTGTATGGACACAGGGAGTACAGCGTAATTACAAGGAAGGAACAGGTTAGCACTTCAGAAATAATTCTATGAAACCTTAACTGTTTAGCTGGAAATTATCCACAGCAGGTGTCTGTTTCAGGCTACAATTTTTTCATATCAACAAAAAAGCTTCAGTCCTTCCTCAGAAGAAGACTAGATATACATATGGGGGTTTGACAATCTAGGGGGGGGGAAAAAGGGGGGGGTTGGTGTTTAAAAAATCCTCTTTCTCCTGAAGATCTTCAGTTTCTCCAGGCTTTGGGATGAAGATTTGGACTGTGATAGCCAAGTTTATAATTTTTGCCACATCTATGAAATACCATCTGAGTCTTGTGATGTTACAAGTCTCTCAAAAAATCTCTACTTGAAACGAACATTGACAAATCTCAAGATCCACCGAGTGAATGAGCATCTTCCAGCTCAGTTTGGGGGGCCTGAACAGAGCATCCCCCACGTAGAGCCTGGGTGGGACCCTGAGCACCTATGTCCATCCTGCACTGTCAGGCACCTAGGGAGATGAGCCAGGAAGATTAAAGAGAGAAGAGACTCTGACAAGCAAAGGAGGCACAACAGTGAATAGATAACAAGTGGGTGATAAGGATGGAGAACAGGACCAAAATGAGATGCTGAGAAGACGAGCTGGAGAGGTTGTGAACAAAAAGGGCCTGGTGTGGGGAAGGAGAGGAAGAGGGACAAATGTGTCTGCAAGAAATTATAGCAAACACACAACCCTCCAAACAAATGCTGGTACCTCAGACACTCCTTGTTCTTCCCTGGTCAGCAAACAGCTGTGGAAGTGTGCTAGCAAGAGGTGTGCTTACCTTCCTTTGCAGCAGGAGACTCCAATTTGGACAGGGAAGTTCTCGTTTTAAAAGCCTTGCACTGACATAAGTAAAAAGATACAGAGAAGACATGGTATCTCTCACAGAAACCATCTATAAATGTATGGGAATGTCCCATATCAACATTGGTAATAGCTGTGAGACGTTAATGTCATGATAATGTGACTGGGAGGATACTGCAGAGCACACAGCCAGCTATTACAGTTTTCTTGTTTTGCCATGTTTTCTTGAGAAAATGAAGCACGAGAAGTGCTGAATTAGGAGAAGATAGTAGTTCCCTCAAAACTGATAGGCATAGTTGTTCCTACCTGGGAGAGAGGGGTAGGTTGGGGTCACTGTGACCAAGTCCTTTGTTTCTTGAGTGACTTGTGTCAGAAGAGTCAGAGAATGACAACAAAAATTGCAAATGTATTTCCATTTTCATGTAAAATCATATTTTTAGTAGAGTACAAGTCCTGGCGTTTTTCAATGCCATGTTTTACAGGACTCTGAAAATTGACAGCTTGTAGGACAAGACACCTTTATTCTTGGTAACATAATGTCATAAATACTATCATAGTTCCTATAATAGAGTTGTTCAAAAGTGTATGAACTTCTGGTAGCTGTATTTCGTTTAGTAATGTCATAAGGCAGCAAGTTTCACAGTTCAGTTCATATAGTATTAAAAAAAAAAAAGTTTTATCGCTCTTAAGCCTTTTCATCTCAAATGTGTCTCTCCTCATTTATTAGGAGATATGGGAAGCAGGACTTCCCATGGCATTTACTCTTTATAATTCATAATATAGCTATTCTTTATATGTTCTCCTCGTGGCTTCTCATTACACCACTGGAGATACCTCAGGAAACTCAGCAGCTGCCTTAGTGGTTTTATCCCCATGATGAGACTGTAGTTGACTCAGAGTGTTTGGACCCTGTGCAAATTTTCAAGTACACTTACTTGCATGCAACACAGCCCCTCCAGCTGTGACCTCGGACCTTCTTTTTTCCCCTTTCTGCCTGGGAATACCAAAAAGCATATTTTTTTTACATTTAAATTTGATAGGTAAAAAA